GGAGTTAAAGAAGCAAAAGAATGAAATATATATATGTGTGTGTGTGTGTGTCGTCTGGTTTGAACTGAGTATTTCTGTTTTCAGAATTTCCTTCATTTTAAAGCCTTAGTAGCAGAGCTCTAAGTGGAAAACTCCCCATAGCATCCAACTTCTGACTAATCTGTCATTTTCATGGCTGGGGGAAGATAAAAAAATAACAAAGAACAGATATAGTTTATTTTTGGCTAGTTCTCTACCAAAAAGCCACTTGCATTAGCACAAGTTCCAACCTTTGTTATCTTCAGATTAGCATTTGTCAACGGGAAAAAGAAAATCTAGAATTTGCAACTGTAATAAAAGAGGGAGATCCATTCTCAAAGGAGTGGGGGACTCTTCTTGGTGTATGAAATCTTATCTTTTTTTGTAATTGCTTGATAATTATTTCATAGGAGATCGCTATGTAATTTTCTTGTTACTCCTTGAACAATAAAAACATGTAAAGAGTTGCAAATAACTGCTAATTGTGTTGGATTGAATTCCTTCTTTATTTTCAGAAACTTTTGCTTGCTTAGCTTGTTGCTGCATTTTTTAACTACAAGATCCTATTGGCCCTCTGTTCAAATATATTACTTCTTGTTTACCTCGTCTTTGCCCTTATTTGTGGGTCCTTATTATGTTGAAATATTCTTTTGATTCCAGAAAAATTTTCCAACCTCACTGGTGTAATAAGATTTTATCGCATTAAAGATTGTGTGTCCATTGTATAGTTAATCTGTATATGATTTTCTGTTTTCCCAGAATGCATTGGATTCCTGGGGATACTTATCTCATCTAATCGCTGGATTATGAGCTTGTGCTTTATCTTTTAACCCCATTAGCATGATGCATTGTAGTTTCTTTGGTCTTTTGAGGCCATGGGTTACTTTTGTTAATGCAGTGCTTTCTGATGATTAAAGTAGATTGAAATATTTGCATTAGTCATTTCACCCAAAGTCAGATGAAAGTTCATGATGAAAAAAAAATCCTTTGGGAGAACGGAAGTCCGCTTGATATACATTTGGTTTGGTCTACTTTCTAAAAGTGTTCTCAAAATCCAAGCCCAATTTTGAAAACTAAAAAAAAATAGATTTCATTAGGTCTTGGTACAAGTTTGACTTTTATGTGCTCAAGTCGAGCTATGTGCATATATGTCTTAGTCTTCAGTGTATGTGAACTATCAGCAACTGCAGAACTTTGCTTACCCTCTTTCTGCAACACAGGCCACCATATCTGATCTTCGTGAGAAGGTGTTTGCACTTAAAGGAGTAGAGCAAAAAGAGGTCTGTGAACTTCTTTTTTGTTTGTAGATATGGGAACATGTTAGTATTATCTTTTACAACTATTTTGGATCACTGCTTTTTGGTAACTTGCAGGCGTGTATATGGGACTACTTCAACAAATGGAAACAATCAGTATTGGATGGGACGAGCCAAACCCTTGAAGAACTAAACTTGCAGATGGATCAACATGTGAGTACTTATTCAATGTATTTATTTTATGCGTATATTGATCCAAGAAGGATTAGCTTTGATGAGGGTGTATGGATAGATGATGTCTCTTTCCTGCTTTCATTTTCTATGTTCCAATCAATCCTTACGAGTGGCTAATTTAAGTGAACATTCATTCATTGTTTTGCTGACTGAATATAACAATTCATGCTAGACATCATTATTCTTGGATGATGGTTTTTATTAGAAAGCTTGATGGTAGTGAAATCATGAAATTTGAATGTGCTATATCACTTAAATTTCTGGTGGGTTATTAGAAAGCTTGGGTACATTTTTAAGGGTATGCCATGAGCAGCATGTTCTAGACTTGCAGATGGATCAACATGTGATTACTTATTCAATGTTTTTATTTTATGGGTATATTGATCCAAGAAGGATTAACTTTGGGGAGGGTGTATGGATAGGGGATGTCTCTTCCTTGCTTTCATTTCCTATGTTCCAATGGATCCTTATGAGTGGCTATTTTAAATGAATGTTCATCCTTATTTTGCTGACTATGACTTCGTTTACAATTCACACTAGACATCATTATTCTTGGATGATAGTTTTTATAAAATAAAAAAAAAAAAGAAAGAAAAGAAAAAAAAAAAGCTTGAATGATAGTTGAAAATTATCAAATTTGAATGTGCTACACCACTTAAAGTTCTGGATTTTCTTGGTTGAGTGTACAATTGGATAGCACTTGTTGGATGAAACGCAATTTTTTAAGGAAAATTAGTTGTATCTATCTCCTATCAGAGTTGGAACTGATATTAAAAGCCTGTATTGGGGTTTTGAGGAAAGGAGAATGAAGGGGTTCATAGCTTGAACATGAGATGGATAATTGGGTTGAGATTTCTGGAAGAAGATCGAGTCCATGAGGAAGGAGTGATAAGCAAAGTTATAAGTGGCTGGGCTTTGTGATTAAACTATGTTTATTTAAACTATGTTTTTAGGTATTGCTTTGTGGGGCTTTGGTTGTGTCTATGTTTCACCTCTTTCATCCTTGTTATCTATTAGGAGATGCTTTTTCTTTGATGCTTAAAATGTCGATAACCAATCCTTTGGGGATCTTGTTCCTCGTAAATCTTTCCTGAATAACTTTTGAACACGTCTAGGAGCTAATTTATGTGTTTATTAACTTGATTTGGAAAGAACAAATGTTTGAAATGGTAAAATTTACCTTTAATGATGTCGGTGACTGCGATCATGATGTGTGTGTATGTGTGTGTTCTTTTTCTTTTTGCCTCAAATATTTGCGTAGAGTGAAATTTCAAAGCGTGGTGATATAGAGAGAATAATTCTTTTGGTTGCCTCTTCATTCTCCTGAATTTGCAAAGCACATTTCTTTTTCAAGAAACAACTGTTGATGATAAAAGAGAAGTACAAAAACAGAGGGAGAACCACTAGGACAAGGGGATTACAAAAATTCACTGCAATGGACAGAGTATGTGAGCATGGTTCCTTTGAATGGCATCTGCTGTTATTCAAGCCACAATGGAAGAGAGTCCATATGAAGAATCTAATTCTTAGAGATTTTGAGACTCCAAGTCACCTTGCACGAATGAGGAGGAAGGGGATGTACAGCTGATCCTTGGTTGTAAGGAAGCTGGAGAGATTAAGAGGAGGGATCCTGAATCATTAACCAGCAGAAAGTAGCATCTCGACTGAGAGACAATTGAACATTTTGGAGAGCAAGCAAGAGAGACACTACTTTGTCCTATTTGATTACCATTGGGGATGTTAAGCATTTATCCAATTATGTACACTTAAGTTTTTTTGTCTCTCTTTTCCATAATGAAATATTATGTTCTAAATCAGCAATGCATCCGAGCACATTGGTTCTGCATTCAATTTGTTGGAGATGTTCATTTTAAATTTATCTATTTTCATGTACTTATATTCACTCTTCTGCAGATCCTCCTTGAAGTTGATGGAATTACTCCTCAGACCGGTATGGATGCCACTCAAAACGAGCTAGCTTTGGTAGCCCTTGAACCTTCATGGTCACCATTGTCAATTGCAGGGGGTGCAGTGATGTCAAATGGACATTCATCCAGTTATGGTAATCAGGGAAGTTCTTTAAGCACATCAGTTTCTGACATGGATGATAGAAATGACATTAGTAGTACTGCAAAGAACAGAAAGAGGGGTGGTTTGACAGGGTTGCAGAATTTAGGAAATACATGTTTCATGAATAGTGCCCTTCAATGCTTAGTTCATACGCCACCTTTTGTAGAATATTTTTTACAAGATTATTCTGAAGAGATCAACTCCGACAATCCTTTGGGAATGCACGTAGGTGGCTTTTCTCATCTTTGGTCTTCATTTTCTCTTTTTATTAAGACTGTTTTTAATTATTCATTCGATTTTTTTTTTTTTTTTTACTGGAAGTTAAACTTGATTTTGTGGGTATACTCAATGTTTCTGCAGGGAGTGTTTGCCCTTGCTTTTGGTGAATTGTTGAGGGAATTATGGTTGCCAGGACAAAGCTCAATTGCACCACGTGCATTTAAGGGAAAGTTAGCTCGTTTTGCTCCCCAGTTCAGTGGTTATAACCAGCACGATTCCCAAGTTAGTACCATATTTATAGAACTCCTTTTGTTTTATATAGTCGCTCCTTTCCTAAGTGATCTCTCTACGCTCCCACAATTAGGATGCTATTATTGTGTTTGCAAAACCTCACACGAATTCTATGCACAACGAATACTCTTTCATACAAAAATACAACCATATTTCAAGAAATTTATGGAGGGTGGTGTTGTGCTGATACTGTGATTGGGAAAAATAAGATGAAAATGGACAGGGACCAAAATTATTACTATTTTAAACTATAGGGACAAAACTACAAATACCAGAATTAGTACTTTACAATTTTTTTTTCTTGCTCAAGCGGAGGAGAACCTACTTCAGTTGAAATTCAATTTAATGGAAGTAGTTGATTTGGCTATAATTTTCAAGGAAATTCATTTCAAATTTCTGATTATGAATGTGTTCGTTCATACATAGTGCATCAATTTGTTTTTGTAGATCCTAACCTAGGTTAGATGTCTGTCTCTAGGAACTTCTTGCATTCTTACTGGATGGTCTGCATGAAGATTTGAATCGTGTTAAGAGGAAACCTTATTTTGAAACAAAGGATTCTGATGGTCGTCCAGATGTAGAAGTTGCGGACGAGTGTTGGAGATACCATAAAGCTCGAAATGATTCTATAATTGTGGATGTTTGTCAAGTAAGTAGCTTTTGATATATGTTGGAGATACCATGTTGCTGTGTCAATCACTGCAGGTAGTTCTAAGTTGCACGATCTGTAGTTTGTGATGTAAATATGAACCGTGTCAAGAAGTTCTCATGTTTACTCTCATAAGTTACATTATCCTTTTTAATCTTTCAATTAAAGTCATTTACATGTTTCATCTTTAACTAGTAGAGATTGATGGGATGTCTTAAGTTAGTTTTTGGTTTGGACTATCTAGTTATTTAAATTATTGTTTACTTTCTAATCATGTATAATTGATTTAACTCACAGGGTCAATATAAGTCAACATTGGTTTGTCCAGTTTGTAGAAAGATCTCCATTACTTTTGATCCATTTATGTATTTGTCATTGCCGCTACCTTCAACTGTCACCCGCAGTGTGACAGTGAGTGTGTTCTATGGTGACGGTAGTGGTCTTCCAATGCCATACACTGTGACAGTACAAAGACATGATTGCACCAAGGATCTCACCCTTGCATTGGCTACAGCGTGCTGCTTGAAGAGTGATGAAGATCTTCTGCTTGTAGAGGTAAGTATGTGACATACGTTTGGTTTCTGCTTTCTTATTTCTTATATTACAATTAATGTTCATCTTGATGTATGATGTCCTTTTTTTTTTGTTGTGATGTGTGTGTGTGTGTAGTTTTGACTGAAGTTCTAAATTTTTCATTGTCAGGTTTATGATCACAAGATTTACCGATATTTTGATAACCCTCTTGAATTTTTGGCCTCAATTAAAGATGAAGAGTATCTAGTTGCCTTTCGCCTTCCAAAAAGGGAATCTGGAAGACCAAAGCTAGAGATCATTCACAGATCGCTGGAAAAGTATGCTTCCTTGTAATATTCTATTTATGTAGTTGTCTGATATGAAGCATGAATTTTAGCAAGCTTTTAAGCCCACTTTGCTGCCTCACAATTTGTCGTTCTGGTCTCTGTAATTAAGTTCATGTTTTACTTGCTCCTTTTTGCTGTACAGGGCTGTCTGAGTAATTTCTATATCTCTTTTATTGGATTTTTGTAAATGATGAGAAATAAAAAGTATGCATCACCAATGATTGCCTTTGGAGAACCAACCTCCAGATGAGTTTGATCAAAGAGTTTATCTAGTTGCAAAAGATCTTCTATAGATTGCTTCAGTTGGAAGGCTGCTCTAATTGAAGGTTAAAATACCGTTCCTTGGAAATGAAATCACGCTGAATAAGTGGCTAAAAGTCTCCTCATACTTGATAGTGTGACAGCAAACTTTGAAGCTTCCACATACCAAGAGAATGTTACTTGCAAATCTTGATCTTTGTGGTCCATTCAAAATTTTGGTATTTCAAACAAGAAAGTGATTTTTTTTTTCTATATTGATTCTCGTGTGTTCAATTCTGGTTCTTATATGGTAGAAAATACATTGGTACTTGTCAGTTAGATATAGTCACTCTATACTAATATTCTTCTTTTTGCTTGAATATTATTAATGTGGCATTTGGTATGTAGATACTCAACAGACCATTCGAAGGGCTTGGAGAGAAAGCTTTTCGGAACTCCTTTAGTCACATATTTGGGAGAAGAGTTCCATAGTGGAGCTGGCATAAATGCAGCTGTGTCTAAGATCCTCTTTCCCTTGAGAAGAACATACTCTTCAACTGTATCTCATAGTAGCAAAGAAAATGACTTTGTTTTTGAAATTAATGATGAACCAGCCAACTGCAGTCCTCAGTCTGTTTCTAGGAGCCAGTCAATGGACAATGAAGTAGAGGAGACATCTGAAAAAGAGTTATTCTTTCAACTTCTTTTAACCGATGATAGGGGTGTGAGCTGCAAGCCAATTGGCAAGGATTCTGCTATAAAACATGGTCCACTTATAAAGGTTTTCTTGGATTGGACCGACAGAGAACGTAAACTATATGACGTGGGCTACATCGAGGATCTTCCTCCTGTTCACCAGACAAGGTTCATGAAGAAAACACGGCAGGAAGCAACCTCTTTATTTTCATGCTTGGAAGCATTCCTGACTGAAGAACCTTTAGGTCCTGATGATATGTGGTAATATGATGTTCCCTCATATCCAAAATTTGTAGTGGCTCTAACTATATTCTATTCTAGTTTGTCTCATTCTCCATCTTAGATTTCCACTTTTTGCAGGTACTGCCCTGTGTGCAAAGAACATGGACAGGCTACAAAGAAGTTAGACTTGTGGAAGTTGCCAGAGATTATTGTGTTTCACTTGAAACGTTTTTCATACCGCAGATACCTTAAAAGAAAACTTGATACCTTTGTTGATTTCCCTATTCACAATCTTGACTTGAGCAAATATGTGAAGAGCAATGATGGAAAATCTTACTTATACAACCTATATGCCATTAGCAACCATAATGGAGGTCTTGGCCGAGGGCACTACACTGCATATTCAAAGGTACAGGATTTCATTTTTCTTCTTTCTACGTATCCCTGAGCAATAATTGTGTTCTTGGTCTTATTAATTTAAATGATCTTTTTGTGTGATAGCTGTTTTTCATATATCCAGTTAATCAATGAGAAGAGGTGGTACCACTTCGATGACAGTCAGGTTTCCCCGGTCGACGAAGAAGAGATCAAGACATCGGCTGCTTATTTGCTGTTCTATCAAAGAGTTGAAAAATGAATTGGAAAAAAGCATCACAAGCCCTCCACCAGAAATGGATATTATGACTCTGGATTGTGCTGTTTCAGCTGCGTTCCGGCTGCTACAAGGGGTTCAAGCATTAATGAAGGCCAATCAAAGGGAGAAATAGAATAGTTCAAACGAGGAATTCTACAGTTTGGAGGTACATAAAAGCGTCCTACAGTTTAGAGGTACATAGAAGCGTATATTCATTAACTCCTTGAGATAAATTTTGTTGTGATTAGGCAGGTCGTGTAGATTTGTAGCAAATCTGCCTCTAATGGCAATGTGGTGGCTGCCATTCATTTGTTTGTTAGCTGTTACCATGGTGGCTGCTCAACGTTTACTGTTGTTACTGATTAACCCAAGGAAATTTTTAGTGTAATGCAAAAATTAGGCTAACCCTTTCTACTTCTACTAACCCAGTACCATTGTTTGTTGTCATTTTAAATCACAATTGAAGCTCTCTCTGAACGACTAAATATTTTTTTGTTTCTGAACTTATAATGGGTGAACTGGTAAATCTAGGTTGGCTGTTCAACATCTAATAATAATATTTAGACATTTCTTTGTAGACAATCTGTAAGATCATTCATTAAAACTTGATTAAAAGTGAAAATTAAGTTGCCTGAATCCTGAGATTTTGTTCATGATCAACAAAATTAGTCGATTTACAACCTCAACAAAATTAGTCGATTTACTACAGCATCTTCGAAAACTTTGGCTATCTATATAATCATAATGTGTGCTTATTTGGCCATTTCCAAATCCTAATTGTCACGCTACACGATTAGATACAAATACTTCCATATTCAGTTGGATCTTAAATTCCTATTTAGGGATGAAACTTTTGTATTCCCATGGGTATGCTAGTAAAGAAAAACTAAAAAAATCAGTAAATCAATGAAAATCTCAAAAAAAAATCCAACTAGAATCAACCATGAGCGGTAGAGGAGATAGAAATGCATCAAAAAGAGATTAAAAGAATTCCATCCACCAGATTTTGCCCAACGACGAACCCAACTCAAAAATTATTAATAACTAAAAAAATAAAAACAGGATAAAAAAAAATGAGAGATGGAGATAGAGATATTGACAGATCAGATCCAGCTGAGAATATCAAATAGAAATGCAAACAAAAATGGAAAATGACAAAAATTATAAACACAACTTTTTCTTTTGTCACATGGCTCTGTCAGTTGTTTTGTTGTTCGACCCCACTCCATTGGGTAACTAGTGGTAGATTCAATAAACTTTCCAATCATATGGTTACTTTTACGTTGTAAAAATGCTTGACAATATAAGAGGTATGAAAGCAAAGAGATCAGACAATAGCAAAAGTCAAAATATTGGCACTCAACCGAAAAGAAAAAATGAGTCGAGATTCTTTTTTTTTTTTTTTTTTTTTTTTTTTTTTTTTTTTTTTTTTTTT